CTAGGTTATGGCCTGATCTAATGGTCAACACATAAATTTTATTATTATACGAGTTAACAAGTTGCTTCTTGCTGTTTCTCAGACAGACATTTGGTATTGTACTTGTAAGCGGCTGAGAACTTTCTTTTGCCGAATCATGCAACACTGCGGTGTTCAAGGATGACGGCAGTTGTGAAAAACTTCTATGATTTTCCTTTTACTTTGATGTCCTTCAATTTCTGTCTTAATCATCCTGCCAGTTGTCTGTGACTGATCTCAGTGACAATTCAACAGCATTAGTATTCCCCGCATCTGCAGTTTTTCATCGTGGTGAGACCAAATTTCACATCTTTCTTCTAGTTAGACGGGTTAGTCAACTGACGGTTTTTGCACAGACTCTATGCAACTGAGGACCCTTGAATAAATTGAACTAGCAATTACAGGAATGGGAGGACACATTTTCCACCGCGGCTCAAGTGAAAAATTGTGCATATGCCTGTAGAAAGCGGTTAAAAGGGATCGAGGAACTGCAGACTCCTGGTACCTTCAAACCAACTTCCAAAGGGAGTACGATCAGTTATAAAAACGCCTTCATGCTTATTTACGAAAAAATTGACAGTAAATTAGTTTTCGTTTCTTGCGATTGAGCTTCTAACAATGTTCAGTGGTCACATTCTCAGAAAAGTAACTTTAAGTTGTATGAGAATGTTAGGTATCTATGTCGCTCTTTTCAGGAGGATTTTAGAACATTGCAGTTTAAAGTCAAACCTGCCGTTTGAAGGAAGAATTCTCCGGTAATCTTTTGAAAACCTTTTTCTAACACAAAACAACAGTAAAAGTTATGGTTGAAAAGGAACTCAAACTTATAGATTTACTAGGCTCTTAAAACCAATTTTGCCTGCTTTTTCTTCTGAAAAAGTCATTTGGAATTGAATCGAAACAGTACTGCTTAGGCCATAAGCTTGATGGATAAGACGTGAGCCACATCAATTAACAGACACCTGTTTTACTCGCTTCTGTTTAGTACATCAAATCTTGCACTATGTGATATTGTCAATTGAGGTATACGTGTTCTTTCCGGTCTTGATTTTACGGCTTGGAACGTAGTTCAATAAGAAGGAATTACTATGAACAATATTTTCAGACTTAATGGTCATTCACTATTTGTTCCTTCTTATTTAAGCAATAACAAAGGCTTTTTTTGTTCGATGTATAGTTGCGTTTTAAATCTTACCAATATTAATAAATTCAAGAAAACTGCAAGCTGTTGCTTTCTAATCGTGATTTAGAGTTATACTTTTTCAAAAAACCATAGTGTAGGCAAAGTTTGAAATTAAATCCTTTCTCTGTTCCGATGCTGCACTAACTGTTTTGCTGATTGGCAAATTGATCATCCAACTAGAAGTTAACTTTTTACGCTAAAAAGCTATGATATTCAAGAGCTGTTTGCAAAAAAGTTTTTGGTTTTTAAGTCTTGTTTTATTAAAAAAATTTAAAAAAAGGCTGGAACCTATTGACATCAGTTACATTTGGCTGTTTTGGTAACAAGCTTTTTTACATTTTTTATAATATTTGTCATTGTAGTATTTTTTGAATTTCTCACAATAATCTTTTATTGTAAATAACTCACTGAGTCTATTTGATAATTAAACTTATAATAAATTTGCAGTTAATACATTTTCAATATGTGCTAAGTAGATTATCTCTTTAACTGTGAAGGTCTGATCTTTTTTGGTATCTTAAATTTAATAGTGCTTTTCCTTGTACAGTTTATAAATTTTTGAGCCATTTACTCAAACCAAAAAAAAGAATTCAACAACTT